TAAAGTTAAATTATTTGAACTTTATGTGATTTTTACGGTACTCCATAATTTTTACATAAGAGTCACATAAACGCAAGAGTTGCCAATATAAAAACATAACAAATTAAAAGTCACCGAATTTTCCCAAAAAATTACATAAATATTTCATAAAGTTAAATTATTTGAACTTTATGTGATTTTTACGGTACTCCATAATTTTTACATAAGAGTCACATAAACGTAAAGATTACGTACTATGCACATTGTGAACGCTTCTTATGTATCCTTATGTATTTTTTTTATGTATTTCTTATGTTTTTTTATGGTTACGTCCATTGTGAACGAGCACTAACCTAAACAATCACCCCAAACAATTTGTATGTGTTTTTTTAAACAGTTGCTTTTTGCATGGATTTTTAGGGTTATATGGAACGATGCCTTATGTAACATAAGTTTTGTTGTGTGACGATGCCTTGAAAACATAAACATGTTCCTGGAACAGTGTATCAGAAATTATGACCCAGAAAATATTGAATTGGCCGTGGCAGAGGTGATAAACAATCGTCTATCCTTTGGGCAGGTTACTACCCGCTTTGATGTTTCCAAAACCACTTTATACTGCAAATATAAAGGGAAGTATTCTGATTAATTTTTGAGGCCTTCTGCGTTAAGCGAAATCAAAGAAAGGTATAAAACAAGTGTAATGATTACAGCTGCGGATAATGGATAATCTTTTGCAAGACAAGTTACAAAAGAGTGCAGTCATATCTAAATAAAAAAGCAGTGATAATTAGTTGTTTTAAAGAAAACCTTCCTGACAACGATTGGCCAAATTCTGTCTGCAGGCAAAAATTGTGATTACTCAAAGGAATGCTGAAAATATAAAAAGATCCAGAGCAGAAGTTCATGATGATGTAATTAACCAATATTGTTACAGAAGTAAAGGAAATAAGGGATGCTTTGCCAGGACCTGGTTACTCAGGAAAACAACAAAAATTTGTGAAAAAAGGAAACTTTATTAAACTATTCTTCAACTTCTCTAAAGTTTGCTGACACTGGAGGAGATCATTTACTATTGCATGTTGTCTACCAGGCAAATCTTTTAGGTTTTTTTTAACAATCCTCAAGGTTTCTAATAATTTTTATATTAATAAATTAGATCCATATCTAAATCAATTTTAGGGCACAATCTTTTGCATTTAATAAATAAATTTGTATACTATACAAAATCAATTTTAAAACTTTCAAGTGTATAAAAAAATATAAGCAAAAATACTATTTTAGCTTGTATTTTTTTCCTTTTAATGCTTGTGCTCTAAATTTTTATTCAAAAGCAAAAATCCTCACATTTTGCCAAGCATCAAAACCCTTAATGAAAACTAAAAATTTGTGACTTTTAAACTCACCTTCATTGTTAATTTTTTTATTTAGACTTATATTTTAACTAACTACTTAAATTTCTTTGACTTTTTATGTTTGTTGCCAATTTATAATTTGTATAATCCTTTATTTGTAATAATAGGCAATATTTCTTCTCTTTAAAATACCTAAAATTGCTCTTCATTGTTATTTTTTTTATTTAGGCTATGTTTTAAGTTATGTTACATAATATATTATTTGAATTTTTTTAATTATATTAAATAAGATTTAGATCTAGAAAATTGTTAATACCTATATGAATATAGGCAATATTTTTTCTTTTCAAAATACCATTGAACATTTTTTGTTATATTTTTATTTGTGTATTTGTATAATATAAAATTATTATTTAGATAATATTTTTTAAATTTTGTTAATTGGGAATTTTTAATTAATTTTAATATTCATTTAAAAGTTGCAGTATCTTTTATCTAGAAAATTTTTAATATATTGAATATAGGCAATATTTTTTCTTTTCAAAATACCATTGTAAATTTTTTGTTAAAGGCTATTTTGTTATAATTTAATTTGTTTACTTTAAGTATAATATAAGACTATTATTTAGATAATATTTTTTAGATTTTGTTAATTGGAATTTTTTTTTGTACAATAATTTTTTGTTGTTTTTAAATATATATTAATTTTTCCAATAATAAAGAAAAATCCTACCCAAAATTATTAAAAAATCCAACGTTTTATGATACAATAATCCCACGTATTTCCAACGTTTTATAATACACAAAACCCACATATTTCCCAAGTTGTATAATACACAAATCCCACGTATTTCCAATGTTTTATAATACATAAAACCCACGTATTTCCAACGTTTTATAATACGTAAATCTCACGTTTTTTATAACATTAGGAACTAACGTTGTCATGTAACGTTATAAACCGGGACATTTCAACCTAAAATTTCTATTAGGGTAGTTAATCAAATGACAAGCGCAATTATTCTGTTATCTAATTTACAAATCCAGTAGAGTTTGGTTATTAAGCATTTTTTACTATGTTAGGGTTATAATGATTAATGTGTTTGTTGTTGACAGATTTATTGTCCTACGCAGTGTGCCTTTCTTAGGGTTTTAAAGATATCTGTCGTGTTTAATTTGCAGATTATGTGTTAGGTCATGCATATGCTTAAGGTTACTTATCAATTTATTGCGGATGGCCATCTCCCCTCTTGTTTGACCTCCTTTGTTTGTCCAGTGAAAAGCGTCCAATGACAGGTGGCACTTAACTCATTCATCACTTAACACTTCACTCCTTATTGACCGTTGCACCATTTTAGTTTGCACTCTATGAAAATTGTTTGTTTCAATATAATTGGTTTGCACATTTTAAAAATTATTGTTGGTTTTAATCTTTAAACTTTTACGTTTTAAGAGCTCTCGCTCTCGCGTGGTGCCTTCTCAAGTGCTGGAACCTGACTGATTCACGTAAAACATTTTTATGGTATAATACTCAAATTAGATCTACGTTTTAAAGAATATTTTTATTCCAATATTTCAAACTGTCTCATTGCAAACATATATGTATGCTATATTAATTTATAGTACTACTAATTTATGCTATATTATAAATAAGACTTCGAATTTGAGAGTTTGAATCTTGATTTTTTATCCAAAATTGTAAATGTGAAATCGAAAATTTCCTATTTTAGATTGCACATTTTTCATTTTTATTTTTTCATCTCTGGGTTTCTTTTTTTGACTAAGAATGTATATTTCCTATTCAAAATTTCAGACTTGCGATGCGAAATATTCTATTTCGAGTTTATGATTCTTGATTTGTAATTTTAAATTCACAATTAACCTATGTTTATTTCAAAATATTTAATTCCAAATTTTGTGTTCAGAAATTGGAAAAAAAGAACACAATAGAAATATAATAGCAAGCAGGCAATAAATATTTATTACTACAAAAAACAAAATTTTTATTTTTTAATATCGAACATTTTTTTATATTTAGATAAAAAAAGTCTCTTGCCACTTCTGGGGGCCCCCTGGTACTCGGGGCCCCGTTCTCTGAAACCGGTAGGACCGGTGGTAGTTACGCCACTGCTTTTAAGCTAAACATCTTTCAACTATTTTATCATTTTGTGAACATGTCACGTCATGTGGTATTTGATGAATGCATAGATGTGTTAACCATGTAAACTTTAGCTGCCTCATTTTAATTGTTTCCATAACATGGGTGTGTAATATTACAGCCAAATTTTTAAAAACGTTTAATAACAAAAACTACTTGAAAAAAGTCGCGTGGTTTGGCAATAGAGCGCCATATTCAGGACACCCTGTGTAGGTAGGTATATTTTTTTATAAAATCAAAATTTGTGCCTATTTTTCATTTTCCCCAATCAGAGGGGATTTGGTACCATAAGTTTAAAACTAAAATTACACTCAGGTATAAACTTATTTTATAAGTCCCTTCGTTAAAACCACCAAATGAATTGGGTGCATCATATTTTCTCTAAACTTATATTTATTTCACAAAATACATATAATTTAATAAACAAATACCTACTTGGCATTACTAAAGACGAAACGGTACTTAAAAAAATCGAAATAAAATTAGCACAGTAGCATACGTTTAAAAAATGGTAGGACAAATTTACACAGTAGTTTAAAATTAAAAAAAAAATGGGGAAAATTTTCACATTAAATTTAATAGTCCCTTGTATATTTTCTCTATCTTGCCTAATTTTCAAAAACGAAGCTTTAAAGATACAAGTTTGTTTAAACTTCTTATTTTTGCGAGTTCCATTGACTACTATGTTTTATTTTTTATTCAGGATATAATTTTATGTGTTTACCCTAGAGTAATATTTTTAATTATATAAAAAATATCACATAAGAATTTATATTTTGCAAATTAATAATATCATAGCAGATATTTTAAAATTAGATTTAATTTTTATGCCAAACTGATATTTTTAATTTAGTATATTTAAAAATTTTTAATTCGCTTAATTAAAAATTAGTTTTAATTTTATTGCCATTTCGATATTCTTATATTTGTATTATTTTGCTAAACACATATTTTCAATTCGCTAAATTAAAAATTAGGTTTAATTGAAGAGGAGGCAGTCTGACGACAGCGGTTTCATAACGGAATCGGTGAGGCCGGCAAAAGTGTTGGCTGCATTGGATTTTCTCCTCACCCAGCCGTTATACGCGAACGTGCGCTTGAATACCGATTGGGCCAGCAGATTAGAACGCGACGCGGCCGAGAACGCCGTTCGCGTCGAACACGACGGCATATCTGCGATAACAGACTTGGTCGACGACGATTTCTTCGAAGGACTCAGTTTAAAGACGTTCTCCCAGCTGTCAAACGTCTTGGAAACTGTGGAGGACTTGGAACGGCAAGCTGCAGCTGGCGCATCCCCAGGTCGACGGTGAACCTGCGTCCCTACTCGACCGGAACGACCGAAACGCATAACCCTGGCGGGGATGAGACCCTGCTAGATGAACGCAATCCAACTGCCAACATCGAGTTGGCTCCCGGCGAAAACCAGCGACCCATACACCCAAATTGTTCGCGGGTAACCGAAAGCGTTTTAATAATCCCATGAATTACAGCGCTTTAGCTCAAATATGTACAAGCGACCTACGTGGATCGTCGTTTTGCCCGACCCGATTTTCTGCTGTTCAGTTGCAAAAAAGCAGCTTTTGATGATCAACAATTGCGTTCAAATGGTCCTCAGAAAGTCGGTGAATAAGAACGACAGACAGCACAAGGCCGGTGACGTAATACAAAGGAGCTACATGGAACAGCTCGTCAAAGAAGATCAGGGCTATAGCTTTCTGAAGACGATGCAGAAAACAAAGGTGATGGCCATGCTACGCCAATTGGGCCCTCCCACCTTCTTCGTGACGATAAGCGCCGCAGAAACGCTATGGCCCGAGCTCCTGGTGATACTGACAAAGGTGTTGGACCACAAAGACATCGGCGAAACGAAGGCGCTCAACCTTAGCGCTAACGATAAATACCGCCTCATCCGGTCTGACCCTATCACCTGTGCTCAATACTTCGACAACCGATTTCAACTGCTGTTGAATCATCTGCGCTCTGAGTTTAGCGTTTTCAAGGATCATCCTATGATCCACCACTTCTATCGAGTGGAATTCCAACAGAGAGGCAGTCCCCACGTGCACATGATGGTATGGAATGAAGGCGCTCCGACGGTCGAGCAAACATCGACCAAAGAAGTTAAAAGGGCCGCCTGCGACTTCATCGACAAGTTCGTTACGTGCGACAGCGAGTTGCCAGGGCTTGATGGCTTGATTGCCATGCAAAAATACAACCACAGCAAGTCGTGCAAAAAGGTAGTAAGGGGCAAAACTATTTGCAGGTACAACATTCCGTTTCTGCCGATGGAGGAAACCACCATCGTTTATCCGAAGGACAGAAAGGACGTTGCACCCGACGACCGGATTCAAGCACAGGTCGCTTTAGATAAGTGTCGAGAATTTTTAAGCGATGAAAAAAATACTAACGATCTTACGTTTCAGGGTTTTCTAGAAAAAAAACGGGTTGACCAAGGAAACGTACATGAGAATGGTCGAACTGAGCCTTAGAAAGCCGGCCGTGATGTTGAAACGTCGTCCCAAAGATTGTTTCGTTAACAACTTCGACGTTCTCGAAAACGTTTGTCTGGCCAAGTTTTTTGCCTACTATAGAGTTACGAAAAAAGAAATGGACATGCAGTTAAAAGATAAGTATTATTTTTGTACCTTAAACAAAAACCGAGCGTCATTAAATTGTTTTGTCCAGGTTACTTGTAACGACCGCTCGAATACTTCAGAGTCCAGTTAATGCTTTACGTACCGTGGAGAGACGAAAAGAGAGAACTGATCAACATCGATCACGAAGCAGTCCACGCCACCTTCCTCGCAACCATCCTGGCGAACAGCAAGGAGTTTAACCGCTTAAAGCAGCAAGACTTGGAGGTTGCCGTGCAGCGTGCGGAAGGTAACGTGGTCTTCGACGCAGATGAACGCCCGTTCGTGGCCTACAACGACTTTGCCGTCTACGACATCGATCGGCCGGACGACGACTTGATATTATGTTGTGTTGTTTGAAAGGTGTATTTCTGTTTTATACTTTCAGTCTTTTAAATTTGGATTTTGTTATCTTAGAGAGCATAGTTAGGGCTTTAATATTTGATATAAAGTTTTTTTAAAAATATGCACATATGAAAAAAAGATAATGAAATGTTAATGCATGCATTTTTTACCATTTTTTAAAATTACATTAATTTTCAAAAGCTGCAAATTGTAATATTAAAAAATATTTGTCATAAAAATATTGTTTATGCTTAAATTGCTTTATTACCTGCTTGCTAATTACACATTTGGGTGCCAGCAAGTGCCAGGTGCTTTAAAAAAAATATTTTTTAGGGACTATGTCAATAATTAAAAACCACGTGTTTGCCGCCTGGTGCGGGTCTCTAGCTTACTTGGAGATAAAAATTCGTCTGTTTTTAAATTTGGAAAACTCAACTTAAATAATGATCGACGAGATAATCAATACGATACGCTATAGCGGGAAAAATTAATAACTTTAACAGCGCTCTTGCCAGAATGTGGAAAAATTACAAACGGTCCCGAAAAGAAGCCAGACGGGAATGTTTACTTAAATAAATCCATAATTTTTAATAAAGTGTTAAATGTACCTGTACCTGGGTCCAGCAGAGGGAGACCACAAAAATTATTAAAGATTTCGGCAAGCTACGAAAAAGAAAAAAATAAATGCCATTATTGGATAGATCTCGGGAATAGTAAAATAGATATTCTACGGAACAGCTTACATTTGCTAATCGTAAAAGTCTAGAATCTGTAAGTCAACGAAATGCTACCATATGTTTTGGGGTCGCTAAAGCCGAATGCGGAGCCCGTTGAACCCCTTCAAGTCAGGTTTTCAAGATAACCTAAAATAACCTAATAATCCAAGCTTTTAAAATCCAAAAACTTTATAACCGAAGCTGTTTATTCACAATAACTTTTATATTGAAGCCCATTAATACATAACCAAAGAACCCTACCCCAATAACCCCATAATCCGAATCCCAATATCCAACTAACTCAAGCAAATGAACCTATTATCACGCAATCTGTCCAAACCCAATAATCCTGTAACCGAAGCTGTTAAAAGTACTGAAAAAGCACTGCGACACTCCGCATTGAGTTGTATTCATGGTACTATATGCCAGCGAGTCTTCACAAGATACTTATTCCTGGTCCAGAAATTATAAAGGCTGTGCCTCGTCCGATAGGCATGTTTTCAGAAGAAGTCCTTGAATCTAGGACCAAAGACTTTTGGAATTATCGAGAATCCAGAAAATGTTCAAGAGAGGAAACTATAAAAGATGTATTTGTAGTCTACTGCTTTTGTCTGACACACTCATATCATCATTATCCAAGTGTGTAGGTACTCGCTCCAATAAGCAACCCTTAATTAAAGAAGTTTTAAAATTGCTTTAAAAGCCTCATTTGTCAAATGAAATGGATGAAAATGAAAACATTAGTTATTCTGAAAATTCTTATCAAAAATTGTGCAATTTGGTACGTTTAAAATATGATTTTGTTAATATATTTATATTTATTAATTTAAATAAAAATTAAACACCCTGGTTATCAAATTGATTAAAAATAAAATTTATAACGTCATTGGATTTACGAACAAGTTTAAAAAAATTGCTAATTACTTACTTAAAATATTTAATATTAATACTGAATTATTTATAAACACTCTGTATGTAGAACAACTGAAAAAGAAAAACTTAAGCACAGTTAAAACCTAATATTTTCATATTTGTATTTATTACCGCCTAATTTAACTTAAATGACCTCTGTGCGACGGTGAGGCACCGGAGTAAAAAATCCACCTACGGGCAAAAACGACGATGAGAAAGATAAAGAACAAACGTGTACTTTTCCAACTCCCTTTCAGATCGAGGAGAACGAGTACCGCGAAATAGTCTCGCAGCTGAACCACAAACAGTACGTGCTCGACAGCGTCATCGCCAAGAAAGGAGCAGGCGAAGGAAAATCCCGATGGATCAGTGCGATCTATCAGTCCCTGCTCCGTCACTTCAACGCCATTCCAGGAAACGATCCGCACACGATCAGGGTTATGCTGACGGCTCCGACCGGAAAAGCTAGTTTTGCCATCAAAAGTATGACCATTCACAGTTCGTTCGGTATTCCCGTCAACGTGTACAAAGGCGACATTTTGCCGCTTAACAGAGACAAAGCCAACATGCTTAACAACCTGCTTAGTCATCTTAGACTGATCATAATAGACGAATTCAGCATGGTCGGAGCCACCATGTTGGAGCAGATACACATGCGTCTGAAGCATATTTTCAGGAACAACGAAGATTTCGCTGTGCGGAACTTACTTGTGGGACCGTTTCAAGTTTTTCGAGCTGACCGAGATAATGCGGCAACGAGAGGACCTCTCTTTCGCCAACACCCTCAATAACATGGCGAGCAACAAAATGACCGAAGAGGAAGTAGCGCTGTTTCGTCGACGAGAAATGGACAGTAGCGTTGTGTTGCCAAAAAATATAGTATACCTTTTCGTCAGTAACAAAGAGGTGGACAGTTTTAACGACGCCAGGTTAGAGTCGTACGAAACGGAACGGGCCGAGTCGATCGCTGTCGACGTGGTAAAAGGTAGTTGCACGGACAAGGTAAAAGAAGACCTTTTAAGGAGAGCGCGTGAATTGCCCAAACAAGACTGCATGGGTCTAATGTTTGTTCTCAAGTTGCAGGTCGATGCCAAGGACATAGTTTCCATAAACATCAATACCAACGATGGTATCGTAAACGGTGCAGCAGGCTTCCTCAGAAAGATCGACTACGACGATCAAAAACGGCCCCGTTTGCCATGGATGGAGTTCTTGGACGCCGAAGTGGACGTTAAAAGTCGCAAAAATGTGGAGGCTCAAGCCGCCGCCGCCGGCGCGCCGGCGGCTATTCCAAAGCTTGGGCGCCAATCAAGAAGACGGCGCGCGTCGTCAAAACGCAAAGGGGCAGCACGGCCAACGTGGAACGCAAGCAGTTTCCGGTACTGGTGGCCGAAGGTATTACCGTACATAAGGCCCAAGAAAGCACTTACCAACAGGTCACCATTAACGTAAAGCCAGGTATGACACGAGCCGCGCTGTACGTCGCTTGCAGCCGAGCAACGACCTTAAACGGTCTTTACATATTTGGTAAGTTTAGAAATCCTCAATCTAAAATGGTTCCAAAGGAAAGGAACTGATTAATTTAAGAGAGAACAAAAGCCTACAAACCAAATTTGCCAAACAATACCAGCCCGCGGGCTCCGTTCTGTTGACATATCAATCGGTTCGTTTCCTGCATAAAAGCTTCATTTTCGTCGCGAATAATCCTCTGTTTAAGGACGCACATCTGGTGATTTTCGAAGATCACGATGACAACGCAGATCAGCTATATCCGAGTTTAGGCGATCAATTTCACCAACAGGTCTTTCGGTCGATCGACGGCGATCACAACATAGTTTGTTATCGCAGAGACCCGGTGCTGGAACTCGGCACCTACACGGGCGCGTACTACACGCATCAAATCTTAAGCGTACGCTTCAGAGACCACGACACGATGACCGTCTTTATACTGGATCAAGTTCCCAAGGGCGCAGTTTACGAAGGAGCACTCGTCTGCGATGGGGCCATGTCGACCTGCGAGGTTGACAAATTCCTTTTGATCCGCAAATGGCACGACCTGAAGGAGAAAAGTCGAGTCATCGAGGAATTTCCATCGCTCGAATTAAAATCGATGACCATCAATGTCGATAATCATGCAATATGAACCTTCGTCCACAAATCGCAAGTATGCAGGTACACGCGATGCGAAACCCACAACACCGTGTACAGCAAAAACAAGGTAACGTCGATTCGCATATCGGACCAAGTGGTGTGCGAAAATGAGGAAGTCGTCGTCGACGACTTGGTACCGAAGGAAATCGACGTTGAACCAGCCAAGTTGCCGATAAGCTTGAACGATATCGATTTTTCGATGTTCGAATATGCATTCGAAACGATGGAGGAACACGAAAACGAGCATGTCGTCGGCGACTTGGTATTGATCGATATCGACGATGAGTACGAAAACGAGATGCACGCCGACTTGTACGAAAACAGAGGTCTGGAGAACCACGACGGCGTGTCCTGCTACGCCAACGCCCTCATTCAAAGTCTACTTTCCCTGGCGGAATTTAGACAAAATATCTTAAATGGCGGCGACCACGACATATGCAAAGCGTTGGTTAGCATACTTCGCGCCGAAAGGGTCGATTGTTCCGATCTTAGAATAAAATTGGGCGGACCTTTCGACCAACGTCAGCAACAAGACGTTCAAGAGTTTCACATAAAACTTGTAGATGAACTCCAACTGGACATCTTTTTCTAAACAGCCCACGAAACGGTTCGAAAGTGCAACCGATGTGGTCACGTAGAAATGGGACGAGCCCAAAATAACTTGAACGTCTGGTTTGCTTGCGTTGTTTACAAATCGACGTGTTGACGAAATCCATGATCAAGTACGTTTCCCAATACCTGACGGTTCAACGCGAACGAGAAAATTCGTACTAAAATCGATGATTTCGATTGCGACCACGTCATAATCGATAGTCATCAATTCCGAGTGCAAGCCGTGATAAAACATCTAGGAGATCGCCCAAACGAAGGGCATTACGTTGCGATCTTTAGAAAAAGCAGAAATCATTGGGTTCGCTGCGACGACATTTCTGCTCAAGCAGATTTCGACAACACGTTAAAGGACGTGTACCTAATGTTTTTGGAGAAACTGTCGTAAGTTATACATTTTTCTAACAAAAACTCAACCATCGATAATTTAAGATATAAAATAGATCATTTTCCCAAAAATGCATTTAAAATTTAAAACAATAAAATGTTATTGTTAATGTGTATCCATTGGTTTACATAATTTGTAGGCCGCAATCGTCGCGACGATTGCGGCGTACACATTATGTAAACCAATGGTCGGTAGGAAGAATGCTTTCTTAAGCCCGCTGGACAAGAGCCCCGTAACGGGAACGGGAACGGGAAAATAAACGGTAAAGGTGGGAGAGACTCAGCGAACCCTATCTATCAACAGTGGTTTTTTAGTCTCTCCCACCTTTATTGTTAGGATTCCCGTTCCCGTTCCCGTTAGCATTTTTCCGTCTCCTATAGGGCTAGCGCAACCGAGTGCGCTTATCGTGTAGGATACGGGAGCGAGACCTGTATCTCCGTTCCCTAAGTGGTTAACGCACCGCCTGTAATTAGGTATTATCACTAGAGGCTAAATGTAGCAAAGTATTCCTCAAGGTTATGACGAATAGCTGTCATTTTGGTTATGCAGGTACACTGCATTGTGCCATACCAAACTAACCCAAACTTAACAACCCAACCCAACCGACCCCGCCCCATTGGGCCCCTCCCGCCTCATTGTCACAATCCAGCCTGCCCTTAGATATATTATACCTCTATTGCTCAATGGGGCGGGAGGGGCCCAATGGGGCGGGGTCGGTTGGGTTGGGTTGTTAAGTTTGGGTTGGTTTGGTATGGCACAATGCAGTGTACCTGCATAACCAAGATGACAGCTATTTGTCAGAACCTTGAGGAATACTTTGCTACATTTAGCCTCTAGTGTATTATCGCGCTATAACGTGCATACAATGATTCGCGCCTTTAAGACATACGTCAATCTGTTTGTATGGTTATTATTATTATTATTTTATGTACATACAAAGAAAGATCACCTAGAAAGCTCATTGCAGAGTGCTTATTCGTATGCGGTGCGTTAACCACTTAGGGAACGGAGATGCAGGTCTCGCTTCCGTATCCTACACGATAAGCGCACTCGGTTGCGCTAGCCCTATAGGAGACGGAAAAATGCTTCCCGTTACCGGGCTATTGTGCAGCGGGCTTTATTTAAATAAGATTAACAACGCAACTAATGTGTGTTATGAAGACCTTGGCTGTGTGGCCATTTGGTTTTTCAGTAGTCGCGCTATTTTAGCAAGTTGGCTAGACTATTTAACGGTCACTAGAAGTGAAACGATGAACTACTTTGTTTATGCGTCCTCTAGCCTACCCAGTTCGAGATTTACATATCCAATTGCGCGAAGCAGTCATAGCATTGCTTTAGCAACATGTCTTCAGGTTTCAATACACGCGGAAATATAAATATATATATATATACATACCAAACAACTTAAACAATATTATTTATCAATTAATTAATATACTTTATTATTTAAAAAAGAGCTAAATTATCTGTGAGTTTAAATTATCAATTTAAATCATGCACTGCATGTGATTTAAATACATATAAACTAATATGTAATTGATTGATTTAAAAGTATTAAGGTTAAAAATTAAAACCATTGGTAGGTTTTTGATTTATTGTATTTTTGTTATTATTAATCATTTATTTTTTAGAAATTACATTAAAAATTATTACCTATTAGTATGAGACAGCAAAAAAATAGGTGTATTTGAGAACAACTTGTTTGCTTTATTTTCATAATCATGCAAATTAAATTTATTGAACATAAATTTTCATGTTTTAATCAGGTAAGATATCTTAACAAGTTTATTAAATTAATCAATATAATATTTTTTAAATGAAAATATAGCCAATGTCTACGGACAGAAGGTTATAAAAGTTTAATAATTTGTTAATTTGCATTTTTTTTTAATTTCAGATGAGTGAAGTTAAATAAAGGTAATAAATGTTTTTTATTTAAATTAAATTTAAGCATGTTTACTTTTATTTATTATTTTTAAGTCGTATTTTCATTATTTACGTTTTTATTACAAATGAATGAAACAAAATGTTAGTAGGTACTATTTGTTTAAATTAATATTTTTTAAATATATTAAACATTTTAATAATTTGCAATTTATAGATGGAATGTGTTTTTGGAGCAGTTAATGCCGATGAAATCGTTAAAGCCGTTGGAGCTATTGGAACTTTTACTGTGGCATATGTAGTTTATCTTATAATAAATCTTTTACTAAATTGATCAATGTCTATTGGAAATATCACATTAATATAAAAACTATAGTATTAAACTTCAATCGTAATTTAATCGTAATTTTTATTCAGTTACAAGAAAAGGCCATATAGTGAAAAACGAACATTTTGGTATAAAATATTCTAAATTAGACATGCTTTCTGCAGCATTTTGATTTGTCCTGTGTCTGCAGTTTGTCGTATTACCAGAGACTGGTATTACTAATCTTTTAAAAGCCGATAAACATATGTGTAAGCGTGATACATGTGCGTAAGTACCCATTAATAGATAAAAATTGTATTGATTACAATAGAAATATGCGTAATGCTAAAGCCTCATAAATTTAATACTTTTTAAAGCAGCAATTATTAATTTAAATAAATGAGTAAACAATAATTATTCTATAGCATAAGTACATTTAAAATAAGTGTTTTTATTTAATTTTAAATCGTAATAATTATATTATATTTATTTTAAAAAATAGTTTGGATGTGTTAATGGAAAAGCATACCTTACAAAACTTAAACAAAAATAAAAAAAATACCCAGCTTATACATTTAAATGCATTTCAAGCAAGTTTTAATACATTTATTATTTTGAAGACGTATTTTACAATATTTGCATTTTTTGGTACAGATGAATGTTAAACAAAATGTAAGCACCATTTATTTAAATTAGTATTTTTTTGATATATTAAAAATTTTATTAAATCGCATTTTATAGATGGAATACCACAATGTGCCTTCGAACCCTTTAAAGCAGTTGGAATTGTTAAAACGGTTTAAGCCATTAAAACTTTTGGAGCTGTTGGAACCAATATAAAACTTTATTTTTTTAAGTCATTGTAATTTTTATGCAGTTATCCTGTCTTCTGAAGCAGTTGATGGTTAAAATAGTGAACATCATAGACAAAAAGGTCAGGAAGAAAAGGCCAGAAAGTGACAAACAAAAATTTTGGTACAAAATTATTCTAAATTAAAAGCCAATCAACGTAAGTTCGGTTTTGGCACTGGTGGCTTTCGCATCGCTCGATAAAAAAGTATGAAATATAGTTGACTTTTCGATCCAGGAGTGGCAAAATTGGATTCCCGGTATATAAATATACCTGTATTTCTGGACAATATCGCAAGCTTTGACCTTCTAGCGAGGTAATTTTTGATTTGTACAACGGTTGGAGTGGATGTTTCAGGATTGAAATTTCCACATTGTCGAATGGCGGATGTAGCTTGCTGAAACCGTGAGACGTTAAAACTTGTATTTGGTCAGTAAAAGTCCGTAAGACCAGTTCTCCACAGATATAACGAAAAAGTAGTAGAAGTAGAAGAAGCATGCATGTGCGTAAGTATTTATTTTAAAATTTGTTTTCACTACAATAGAAATATTCCAAATGCCAAAGCTTCGTTGTTAACTGTATATTCAATATTTTTTTTCTACTCCCACCTTTAAAATGCCCATTATCGTACATGCTTCCATAACACAAAGTGATCTTTTAAATACACATTGACAAGTTGTGACTTTATGGCGTTTTAGTCACGGGCTAATAATAATAAATGTAAAAACTATTTTTTTTACTCCCACTATGAAATATGACCGTTCTAATATCACTTTTTAATGTGGAATGACATATATTCCATATATAAGTATTACATAATGAATTATTTTATCATCGGATGACGGAATGAACCTTGGTGGCAACATATCTGTGTTTAATATCTAAAAAATTTTGGAAAAATCCAACCTCACTTTTTCCCAATTAAATTATTTTCCTATGATATTTTTTAAAAACGTAGAAAAAGTATAGTCTGATACACGTTTGGAATTACATATTTCGCTCTCGTGAATATACTATTATTATCTCAATACAAAATTATTAAACACGCCTCAAGCCAAGGTTTTAATTTAATTTTATTCATTTCAGGTTCTACACCTTTTCCAGTTGATATTCAGAAAGTAGAAATTGTAATTCAGTTATTCCAGTTAATATTCATATAGTAGGAATTGTTATTCAGCTATTCCAATTGATTTTAAGAGGGTAGCATATGTAATTCAGATAACACAATTGATTTTCAGACACTTGTAATTCAAAAAGTAGCAAATGTTTTTCAGATAAAATCAAATGTAATTCAGCCGCAGCAATTTTTTCAGGAAAAGTGGGTTGCATACAGTAAATCGATGATGAATGAAAGTACACGTTATCTTTATTAACTCAGTAAATGAAATTTATATAAAGTACAAATGAACATTCGGATAAATCTGAAAAAGCTACGAAGCAATTATGTACAAGTCCATGTTAACGTGCCAACTGGCATATCGTCAAGCATCAATGCTGCATGATGTCTTTTGCGCTGTCCATAATCTCTTCTACATATTGGAGACGTTGCTCTATCAGTCAAGGCGCGATGACATTGGGAACTCGCATATGAGTCTTTGCATACAGTTTCACTTTAGACCAAATTATCTCTATTGGATTCAGCATTGGGGAGTATGGTGCAAGCTTCAATAAAGTTGCAGCACTGTTATCAAAGATGTTATGCAATGATGAGTGACAAGGCGCGTTATCTGCAACAACGATAAGGTCTTTTAAGTTATTACTCAAATTACTCAAGTTTCTGCACAGCACGATGTCCAACTCTCGCGCGACCATGTCTCCGGCGGCAAAATAAATTAAAATTCGTTTCATCTATCCATACGATTTGTTTGCCCTGCTGGATAAATTATTTTAAAGCACGGACATATCGATGGTTATTTAACAAAACATCATGAGCGACAAAACCTAAATTTTCCTATGAGA